AGCCAGGGAGTGAGGTTGTTCCTTACGGCATGTGTGTCTGCTTTGTTCCCCGGTGAACGTGACAGATTCCCAGCTCTTTTCCTGGTCGCCTGGCATCATCAGGGCCTGGGCTTTGTCTCATCTTGTTTTGGGGGAAATCATAAATGAGTCTGGGTTAGCTTTGATCCATTCAGGTCTAGTCAGGATTCCAGGTGTCCCATGCTATTCCCTTGTTCCCGCCCTCCCCCCCGCCCCCCTCCCTTTGCCCTCAATATCTGTGATAGCATATTTGCTCAACAGGGTACTGCCCTGCCATCGGCAGAACACCCAAAGATCCCAAGATAGAGCCATAGTCATCTACTTCTGGAAATTTGGACTTACTGGTAACACAGAACAATGGTACAGCACAGACCTCAGCCTTAGCTGTTCTTGTGCACTTAGCGCTGTCAAGGGCTCACTGCAGGACATCCCTTCTCCTGGCCCCTACCCCTCCTACTCTGAAGAGACCCACCTTTCCCCCTATGGCCTAGTAGTGCTGATTGGGACTGGAAGTGTAATTAGTCACAGTCATCATAACACAGGATCCAAGCAGCCTGGTCTAAGAAGACCTGGTAGAACAGCCCTGAGTCATCTACAGATGGGCCAGGGCCCATCATTACCCTAGTACAGCTCTGTACAAAAGCACAAGGGACTGGGCTTTATGCTGCCTCCATCTATTTACTCTGTTCAGAGTAAGGAAGCCCAGCATACAGCTTCTGCTGAGAGCCATCTGCTCTGCGTAGGGATGAGCTTTGGTTATTCAAATAAGAAACCCTAAGTAGGCTTTATCCCAGAAGTCCCAAATCTGTGTTCCAGGCCTTTGCCCCATGGAGCTGATTTCTTTTCTGTGGCGGTGAACCATCATTCTCTCAGTCTCAACCTGTGGTGCTTCAGTGTCACATTCCTCTTTGTTTGCTGCAATGTCTCTTTTGCTGTTATCTGTCACTTCACACATGCAAATTCAAGTTTCTCTTCATTCCCTCTCCTTGCAGGATGCATCCATCGCACATAGATTCCACATGATGAGAGAAAAGCATCCTGAGAAATTCAACAGCAGGTAAACCCTGTCCCCATTCTGTCGTGAAGCTGGTGAGGAGCGTTTTTTGGGCCCTGCCTGGGAAGCTGGGGCTTAGAACAAGCTTGCTTCCTTATCTGACCTGCCTCCTGGAAGAAACACCGATAGTCTAGAGGACAGAGGGGTGCAAGGGCAAAGCATTCATTGACCTGTCATGGTCAAAAGATGATTCCCAGTAGAAAATGTTGTGCACAATCAAAAGTTTCCCCATGGAAAAATTCAGTTTGGCCAAAACCATGTTTTCCATAGAAGAACTGTCCACCTGATGCAAAATTCCTATCAGGTCTAATTACAATCATGTAACCTGGGCACTGCCTGAGACTTTCCCAGGAACTGTCTGACACCCCTTGCTCTCTACATTTTATTCCCCTTGCTTTCCTTTCCTTTGCAGTTCTGACCAGTGTGGCAGTCTTATACCTAGGCTAGCAGAGGCCAATCATTTGGCATGTGTATTGCCATCAATTAAGCCCTGAGTCCTTCTTGAGTGCTACTCTGATCCCCTTCCTCTGCCTTATTTAATGCTCTGCTTTCTGCTTCCTGCTCTGTCTTCTGCTGTGCCCCCCTCCCTGATCTTGCATGCAACACAGAGCCTGTCCATGCCACATGTGGCATGTGCACCTCAGGTTGGCCACCCCTGCTTTTTTTATGCTCGCCCCACTTCTCCACCTCCACCTTTGTTTCCTTTCCTAGGCTGTTTCTCTTCCCACTGGCTACACCAGTGAGAAAAGTAAAAACAGCTTAATTTGAGCAGCAACACCTAGAAGGGGAGGAAATGCTGTATTGGGCAAGTCATGTACAAGCGTGTCTTTAGGCCCAGACTCCATCCTTCAGGAGTCTAAATGGTATTTAACAACTGACTGTTCTATGTATAGGCATATCAGCCCCTGCCTTCTTCATAAGCATGGTGGAAGATAGAGGAAAACAAACATTGTTTCCACAATGCACCCAGAAAATTAAGATCTAGGTTGATGGTGGACTTAATCACACCTGTCTATAAAGCAGTGACATAACTCAACTGGAGGTGTCTCTTGGTTGATGACTCTGTGGGGAGGGAAACAGGCAGTCCTGTGCCATAAGCAATATTTGTATTAGGTCTTTACATTACTCCGTTCTGTGGGCCTGGAGAGGTAAGCTTTCATGGGAAACCTGCTGGAATTTGGCTGTAGATGTAATTACATTTGTTCACATTTAATATTTACCTACCAGTGTCAGGACTGGCAAGTACAGGCTCTCCAGCAAAGGCAGAGCTGCAGGTTCCAATTAGCTCAGGTCTTACTTGGTGTTGATCAGAGTGACATGGTGACAGGAGGAGCATGCTGCTTGTGAGCTGGATCCCTACTTTCAGAAATGCCTATTAGAAAACCTTCAAACAAAGCAAAGAGCACTCCAGCCCAGCTTTCCTCTGAGACGCAAAACTCGCTCATCTTAGGACAGCTCATCAAAGCACAAGTGAGAGACTGAAAGCATGCCCAGAAAAGCAGAGAAACTAAGTGGAGATGTCACACTGATGTACACTTTAATTTCCCCCTTCCCATCCCTGCCATCAAAAGCTAGATGAATAATAATTAGAGAGAACGTGTCTTTCAGGGCAAATCTCCCTTTGCTAAAATCACAAGCTCCAAACTTGAGCTCAGCTTTGTAATTGTTTGTGTCCCACTGAGTTATTTCTGGCCTGGTCTGTGTGCCAATGATAGTGCATGTTTGGGCACTGGTGCATAAAACCCTCACTTAGGACCAAATCCCACCCCACTAAAATCAAGTCCAACTCCATTGACTTCTATGGGATCAGTTTTTAACCACATTCTTGTGACCCCCCCCCTTGTGCTCTGAGGCCATGGGCTGGGCACCGGGGCTACGTTCACAAAAAGACCTAGGTGCTACAATGCATGGTTACAGCAGTGCACTTTTAGGCAAATAGTCAGTAATAGAATTCACAGCCCCTGGCTCCCTGGACTGTACGTGGAGAGGATTAGGCACCTCAGAATAGGACTGAAAAAAGCCAGCATCCAAAGCAGGGCAGCTACCTAAACTAGCCAATAGGAGATGGCAGAGAGAGGGGTATGGTGTAAACTATGCCCCTCAAACCACTGAGGCCTGTGTGGCAAAAAGTCATAGAGAAGTGGGGCTGGAAGGGAACTCCAGAGGCAACATGGAGTCCAGCCTCTGCCTGAGGCAGGATCAGCCCTATTCAAACCATCCCAGAAAAATCTATTGTCTAACCTTTTAGCAAAACTACAAAGTTGACCCTGATATAACACAAGCCATAACACCTGAACCTGCCACAGGTAAAGCAGGGGAACCATGGAAGCCACCATCTTGCTTCTATAAATGTTATTAATATATGGTCAAGAGATCCCAGGTAGAGGGCTATGTCTCTCACTACAGAAGAAAGCAACCCCCCCACACACACACCCTCTCCCCCAGTCTGTACCAATCTGACCATGGGGTAAAATTCCTTCCTGACCCCAAATACGGTATTGGTCAAGAACCTCCAGCTTTGGTCTCAGGAGGAGCATTGGCACACCCTAGTCAAAATCCCCAGCCTTGGCTGTAGCCAATACCCAGTGCCTTTGATGAAGGCAAAAAAATGACATGGTTGTTCGTGGCATAAAGAGCAAATTCCTTGGATAGTTTCCAGATGTGCTCTGGTGGCCCTTCCCCTCAGCACTGATTGACAGAAGCATATACTGTATAATTTAATAGCAAATTCTGTGGAAAGTAAATTACATCATATAATTTATCATATTATTATAAATCTAAATATTACTACTAATATGTTAAATTGTTTTTATTAAGGGTAGCATAAATTATGTTAGTTGTTAAATGCTAACATGCAGCATCCACCAGCAGTTGCAGCTGACAGCCTCTGTCTCTGCGGTGTGAAGACTTGTCTATACGTTGAGATTTCACGTTCTGTGTCTGCTGAATTGGTTGGAATTCTAAGTCAGCTTTTTGCCAAGTTTTAGAGATATGGAAACTGATCAGACACAGGATCCCACAATTCAGTTACATTTAAAGGCATCTGGCACTCTAACAAAGTTCATGTAAGCAGCACACTCATTAGCACGCTCTTTCTGCCATCCAGGGATTGATTTAATTAGCTAAGGGTCAGAACGCAGAAAAGATACCTGATTCGGGTCAAAAATGCAAACAGCACTAAAAAAGGAGGCAGCCAGTTTAAATCAAGGTGGTAGTGACTGATTTAACTTTGTAGTACTGATTTAACTTTGTAGCTGTTGCCTAGACTAGTTCTTGTCTCCGCTGGTTTTCAGTTTGACCCTCTGAAAGCTATTGTGATGCTGTATCTTAACCCAGCTTATCAAATTCATCAGTTTGTTATGTGACTTGTGAATCAAAAACTGCTTCAAACCATGTTAGAAGCTCCATCAGCTAGATTGCTTTTTCAGCCACATAATTAACTTGATCTTCACTTAAGCCCTAGCGCCATAGTGTTGCTGGGCACAAATCGTGACAGTGATGCTACTGTGCAGTAGTAATGTGCTTCTGTGCAGTAGCTCATTGCTGCTGCACAGTAGTGTCTAAAAATAACTGTGTGGCAATGGGACTGTGCAGTAATGCCAGTTACTTCACAGTCGTTTAGTACTTGGTTAAACAAGTACTAAATGACTACACAGTAAAAACTGCGCAGTCCAGCATGTGTAGATGCACCCACTGTGTACAAGGTGTGATTTCAAGCTCCTCACAGACAAATCACTGGTAGGACTTAATATTCCTTTCATAGTAACAAACTGTGTTGAACCATAAATACCATTTTGGAAGCACTGGTTCTGATGGAAGTTACACGGTTGCATTTAGATCCTCATTTTGATTGGCAGTGGACTCCCTGTATCAAAGCTTACAGCCTGGACAATGGTTGAATATTTTTTTAAAGAGGAAACCAGGGTATTCTCATCAGGAAAATGTATGCACTAGATATCACTTACTAAAGAAAGAATGTGTGTGTTGCAGGTGACATGAATTGCACTAGACATCATTCCATGGAGCAGATCAGAGAAAGTGTTGCATATATACATTGCATTATCAGAGAGAAATGCTGAGATCTTGTTAAATTCTGAGCTGTAGTTTACAACAGCCCTCACTACAGCTTGTGCTCCAGTTGAAAAATGTACAGATGTGAGTTGAACTGGCTGTGCTTGAAAAACAGGCAGGTCGTGGTCTTTCCAGCTCCCAGGCATAAATAATGCATGGCCCTGGAGGTGACCACCTGCAGGTGGTGGCAGCAGCGAGTGGGGAGCTCCTGCAGGCAGCCTCAGCGGTGTCAGGAGGGGAGTCGGGGGGTGTAGTGAGCACCAACTGGCAGTTGGCGACCACCCGCAGACACCGCCGGCATTGTTGGTGGCACTTCTCTCAGGAGATCCACGTGCACCCCCCACGCATCGTCAATGCTCCCAGGTATAAATCCAATGTGGAGTACATAGTTATGCTGTGCATCTGTTGCTTCATCTCCTACAAATGAAATTGATTCGTATTCTGCCAAAGCAGATTTTGTAGACTGAACACGCAAAGCAAATACTTATGGTAGATAATCCTGGCAAAGTTTGTTTGCACATGGGAAACTGCCAGTGTTTGGTATGTGCTTGTTGAAGCAGTCCCTTAGTTTCAGGTTATCAGTTTTCTCCAAAGGTATGTTGGCAGCAGTGAATGCCTACAGTAGCTTCTCTTCTTGTTAAACTGCTTTCAGTGGTTCTTTTTAAACAATCAAGGACATTGTCATCTGTGTTTTTTTCTGACCTTTAGCCTCTGCAGAAGCCTGTTGCTTTATATGTGTTTTAGACTCGATCAGTGCTGTTTTTTCTCAGTACATCCAGAGTCGCATTGCAAGATGAACAAAACTATTTGGCACCATCTGAATGTAAAGCTCCTACAGGGAACTGTTACACAATCCTGAGCTGAAATGGATTTAGCTTTTTTTTATTTCTTTACAGTCATCTTCAGACTTCAAACTACTGCATTTAAGATGT